GTCTTGGGTTGACCTCAGACTGTAGTAGGCAAATTGACGAGCATCGATTGACTTCTATTGTGTCAGTATCCTCACAATGCTTATTTGTTCGAAGATCTTTAGGGTTACCGTATTACAAACAGTTGGTCGATATTTGCTTGAACCCTTTTTTAATATTGGAGTGATATTGACGCCTCTCCAGCAGCCGAAATTTAATGTTGTTTAATGCACAATGTACATAAATTAGGGTATTTAGGGTAAAGGATGATTCAGAGATCGGATCGTTATAGCTGTAGCAAAAGCAATGGTTCAGTTTCTCCACATCTAGGTCGCAGTTCGATGTACGTCGAGTAGGCCCGCTTAGTTAATCTAACATCCACCAGAGTTCACAGCAGCTACTATTCCTAAACATAGTCTGAACCTACACGTTGCTGAGATACGGCAGCTCCTCCTTTGTGAGAACAGTTGGTGATTTTACTAAGGTGTTGTATTTCCCTTTGAATGCTTTTTCTTTTTGTCTACGTAGCCGCTTTCGCTGGGGGGAAGAGAACCTGTGCACATCGATGAACAGAATTTCGCATGGACAGAAAATGCCAAAACAAAAATTCAAGTAATTTGTCAACTGATGGCAACACCTGGATGCATCAATGCCAAACAATAAATTGAAGTCGGTGCATGATACCATTTCTCGTAGTCGGTGAATATTCTCTGCGGTATACTGCCTCCCCCTAAACTTGCGGTCTTTGAAACGAGTATTCACTTCATGGTTTTTCTTAGGGTAGATCACTGGACACAGTTTAATTGTTGAGTGATCAGAGCTGCCTAACGGAGGCTTGTTACACGCGGAGAACAGCTTCACTTTTTTAACAACTACTAGATAAAGTGTTGCATCGGATGTAGTGGGGCAATTTACGATGTGTTGTAGTCCAAGAATGCTGAGAAAAGCGGTGTCAAATCGGTTGAAATCACCAGTAACAATATATGGTGCACAATCGATGTGTTCTAGTACAACCGCAGTAAAATCATCGTAAAATATCTCTGCTTCAGGTTTTAGACACATGGGGAAAATATAGATGTACACCAGTAAGATTGAGCTGTACCCGCTGATACATCACGGCTTGCATCTCAAAATTAAGCGGTTACTACCTTGAAAAGAGAAGCAAAACGTAACTTTGGTGAATACGCACCAGGAATTGTTGACACAGATGATGATTCCACAGTCACGGTTACGGGGATGCATGGGTAGCCGCCCCGATGAGATTTGAACTCTTCTACCCATACAAGTGTCTCATCCTCCTCCTGGTAAAGCCAAGCCTCTTGTAGTAAACTGATGCCTAGCTGCGAATATTCTCGGGAGTTGATGGTGCTTGTTAACTAATTAATTTTCCCTAAGAGCGAACAGATGTTTAAGGTAAGCAAGATAGGTCTACTCATGCTTCGCAGTTTTTCTTTCGAAGAGCAATCTTCTACCCAGTGTGGTGTTTTCTTGCATAATTCCTGCACTTATTGTAAATTCGTTTACATTACTTTCTTATAACGTGGCCGTTGGAAAAGGCGCAGCTGGTTAACACTTCGAGCCAATTTACCCAGCGAAATTCGACTAAAATCAGCAGGCGCACTATCACATGTTGTCAGCAACTCGCTGGAAATTGTAGCATTAATTTTAAAAAAATTGTCACCACATTACTGCAAATAAACAGATGCAATAGCCCCAGAGGCACTCGACTGGATGCATGAGGGAACATCGCAGCCTGGGACACTCCGCAATGTCATGTAGCCCGGCTGAAATTCAGCAGCCAACTATCTAGATAAAAAGCGATTAGTGGACAACGGTTGGCTTAAAACCAAACAGGAATTTGATATCAACTAAAGCATATTCAGTCCGCAAAGCGCTATGCTGCTTTCACACTAACACTAAAATTCTTTGTAATTTGGCAACACTTTGAGAGCATTGTGCCTCACAACCACAGGATCTCGTCATGATGACAGAGATTTGGTTAGGACTTGAATTGCTGATTCTTAGAGCTTCGGAATAACAGAATTGGAGAAGAAGCTGGAATAACTTGTTGGTACAAAACAAATCACCGATATGAGCATACTGATCACCCATAATTCCGCCCCCTGACACCTCTATTATTCCTAAGTTATCATGCACCAAACTCTACGTTGGATCCACGTTTCGTAGGTTGCGCTAAACAAGTCATGCAATCACAATTTCATCGCAAGTAAATTTAATGTGCACGACCTGGAACTACCGGCAACCGAGGACGCGCCGTTTAAAGCCTGTTCGCAGGAGCTGCTTTCCAGCTACTCTCTGTACAAACACGTCACCACTGCAATTGGATTTCGAACTGCTTACAAGCCATCGACACTCAATCGCTTGCTTACCAACGAGGAACTCATGGTGGGGGGATGGTTGTAAACATATATCAATAACAGGCTGCCTCCCTGGTTTACGAGGATGACCGTACGAAGACCGGTGCGAGAAACTAGAACCCCACACATGGTCCCATTGTCCGGTGTGAGTTGATCTAATCGTAAGTTACCGCATACTACATCTTGATGACTGTCCCATGTTGAGGCCACTGTTTCAGTTGCGAACGTCATAAAACACGCGGACACAGGCTCACTGTTGTGGTGACGGATATAAAACGAATACTCCACCACCTGTGCAGTGAACGGAGAGTGGTAAATGTTTGGAACACTCGGTTAGAACAAGTCGTGGAGGCCAAACGTTGTTGGATTTTCATTTCACCGCCAATGGATTCAGAGAACGATGGCACAATGACAATGATCTCTTACATTTGTGAGTCCAGTATAACTATAACTCAGACGTTTTAAATTGCTACCTAATAACTTGGAGAAGGATTAGATTATCACGGGTGAGCTGATAAGGGTTTTGCATTTCGACCTTCTATCCCTCGTACATGATATCAAGATTTAGCGAGACGTCAGGGGACCAGAGGACCAAGAAGGGCTCTAACACGATCTTAACAAGATTTTCAGCCGGTCAATTTAGAGTATTCTGCCAACCAATGTAGAAAAATATCGAGTTGTTCACCTAGGCCATGGACATGGCTTGGGGCACACAGATTGCAGAGCAGTTCATAGTAACGTGAGCTTGTTATGCTACTACAGAGTAACCTTAACTACTCAAAACAGTCCGAGCCTCAGACTCCGTGGCAGATGCGGAAAGAAGCAATCAGCAAATCGGCTCACTGCAAAAGGCTTTCGGGAGTTTTGACCCAGCAATATTTCCGATGATGCACATCGTTACATACACCCTCATGTAGTATACACCATTCAAGCTTCGCAACCTTGGGTGAAATGCGGCCTGGAGGTGCTGGAGACACTGCATCGCAAGACGACCAACAACGTCAAAGGTCTACACAAGCTTCGATACCAGCAAAGGCTGAAGTCACTGGGAATTCTCAGCAGACGCTACTGATGACCACGAGGAGATCTCATGTGAGTGTACCAATCATTGAGTGATTCCTATCGTGTATGACGACACCCGCTGAAACACAGGCACCAATCGCAGAGGTAAACTGCCTGAAACCAAGTGGACAATATAGCCATTTCGAATGCCGACTCAACTTCTTTTTTGCTGGCTTGCCAACCATGGAACGCTCTCTCAAACTCAGTTGTCTCATTACCTACTTTGGATTTCATCAAAAGTAGTCGGGTATTACCTTTAGATCTCAGGACTTCGTTAACTTTATCAAGCCTTGATACCGGAGTTATGTATCGTATGGATCTAAGAAAGCAGTATATGTGTGGGGGTCCTTATTTTGATTTGTTCTCACGCAGTACATCCACTCTAACTGTTCCCCATGTTATCTGTATGGGCACATTCAATTCTCATTTGACGCTACCTTATTTAGCCGCGCATTTGACTCGGTAGACGCTTAAACAGATTGCTCGCAAATGTTTTGATTTATAGGTTTCATCCCAAACACCCCTCGGAATATGTCAAGCATTTGCATTTTTACCCGTGACAAATCATTGTTCATCGTTAGTTTAGGCATTTTGCGCACTTTAAAGTAGGAGGTTTTGAGTAGCTGGTCACACACCTCAACTGTATGTTCTGGCGCGAGTGTTGGACCAGGGACCCCACTTAGTAGTATCCATGCATATCACTTAGTTACTTCCAAGGTACTTTGCCAATATTTGACTCCACTAGCGCCAGAAGCCAGTCATTTGTCTTGCATCTTGTTAAGGACTGAGTATTAGTAGATTGCGATGAGCACATGCTTCCTTAACTCCTTCGATCCGTATTTATTTATCTAACGAAATGTTTCTAGAGGAATTCCTTTAATCCAGTAAGGCATATTCCGCCCCATCGCATGACCTTACTAAAGATGAGACCACCGATCATTGCATTGATCTTAAATTTCACAAGATACATGTTATGACCCATACCGGAGCGGTTTCTAAATCCAATCAGTTGGATTTGCACGGATTGAGGAGAATCACCAATGCGCATTATGCCAGTAGATCCGCAGCGGATGCATCCAGACCAAATAACCCATAAAAAAGCGTAAGAGACATGCGAAATAAGATAGTAGACGGAGTTACTTGAAGCTCACTTACGGTTAATATACCTTTTGCTAGTACGTGCTGAAGATACTGCCTCGATTAGTGACAAATCGTCGGCAAATAAGTTACAGAAATCGGAGGAGCAACTCGATACGTCCGTCTAGTTAGGTAAATTTGACAATTTCGTACCACGTACCATCAAACTGCTGCTCTGTGGTCGTTATAATAACGATACAATCGGTGTCCAGCTAGCACTTATCTCTCTCCGTCGGATGAAACGCAGGAACGATTATAGGTGCTACAAGTTTCTTGAACGTACAAGTTCCATTACTGCATGCTTTAACGAAGTGCCTTCCCAAATTGATTTAACAAATCGGAAGATATATTTAACAGTGCATACATTCGCTCTCTCTTGTTCGTTATACTGAACAATTAGAGCTAGTTTCGCACGTTGAATGCGTCCTTCTGGATCCATGAAGCCTTCAGTTCCCTGTCTTCCAAATCAGGTAAAATAGATCATCCAGTTGGTAAATGAAGGAGCTTCCTGGCAAATGGGCGTAGCTGGCCCAATAAGAACCAGTAGTAATGACGACTTGCCAAGCCGGTTTGTATGTCTGATCCAGATACTGTTTGATCCGGTCGGCCAGCTCGTTTCTCTTAACCGATGGATCATGTACCAGTTTCCATGTTTCCTCGCTGATTGCGATCTGGTCCTCTAATGTCATCGTCGTAGAAATCACGCGAATGCCTTCCCGCAGTCCTCCAGCGTTTGAGATCATGTCCATCCGTTTTGCTCGACTGAGGAAAGAGAACAGTTATCAGTAATCACTCGATACTGTGCATTTAATCCTCTGGAAGTCAATCATCTCATCAATTAAATTTTCAGTTGGCCTTATACATAATCATTAAACGGTATATCACTTCGCAATTTTAGCTGTTTGGAAATTGTTTTAGTTCCCTAGGACTTCTACCCATCAACTCCACTGTTGAAAAAGGCACTGGTACATCGAATGTCACTTACGGGTCCTTGAATCACGAATGTTGTCTGCTGTTCTTCTACACATGACGTGATACACTTTGAACAAAACGATGAATTAATTCAAGTTTTATTTAGTGACGGAGAATGGTTAACAAAATCAGTAAAGCAACGCTCGTCAATCTGCTACCACTTAGTTATACTTTTGGCATAGGAAAGACAATTTGGAGCGAACTGTGTTTAAGTACTGACGACACATCCATGTAACGAATTGAAAAGCGCACTGAGCAAGTCACACACTTACACCTCCGTCGCCTTTAGTCCAAGAGTGTCACAGAACTCGGTCAGCGTTATCCTTCCACTGCGGTCCTTGTCGAATAATTCGCTCCATTTCTACAAGTGAAATGAGGTTGTTGTGTTATGTGATGATGGGTGACACGGCCAAGTCAGCTGTGGTGACCGTTCTCTTCCAAATCTCACCTGAGTGGCCTGCAACCAACCATCTTATTTATACCCTGTGAATATTTTGCAGAAACCGAGCACTTATGCCTATTGCGCACTCAAGTTAAACAATCTCGACGTTGGTCGTGGAACGTTTCACTCACAACACTTATCAACTACCATATTGACCTACCGTGATCATTTCATGGTCCAGATTGTTTTTCTCCACGTAGTATCTCAAATCATCCGTTGTAATCACATCATCCCCGTCGGTGTCGATTCGGAAGAAAGCGCTGACAAATGACTCCATTGTCTGCGATATCCGGTGAGATCTTTGTTACTGTCCCTATTATTGACTCATATGGCTTTTATAGCAGAGCATCGAGCCACGCGGCAACTCATTGGACTATTGCTGCCAGTGGGGTGCGCGTTGTTCATGTTAGGGATTCGGATTTGTCATGTAACTAGTTTAAATGCCATTCTTTTCGCTTGACCCCGAATGAGGATGAACGCCGAACTGGCTTGTGAACGTCGTCTTAGCTGCTACGTGTAAAATATGTGCTATGGAGTTACAGATGCGAATCGAGCTGCTTGGTTACAGCCTCAGTAAACCTCATGAGTAGATGCTTCTATGACTGTGGTTAATCTGTTGAAGCGCAGTGCCGTGCGTCATACGTGCGCAGCGCAACTCCTGTGTCAAATGAGCTCTACAGGGCTCTAGCTGATGCACTGTTGTGGCTACTCCGATTACAATTGCCACGCTGCTAGTTGGTTGCATACGGATAGCAACTGGCTTCTTTCAGTTTCGGCCAACCGTTAACGTTGTTGTGAGATAAAACATGCTAAACTCTACAGAAGTAATTCTGCAATCTCTAGATGAATGTCTGAAAATTTCGGGGTCAACCATTTAGAGCCTGATCGCGCGCACTCATTCTATCCATGCACAAGGTGTTCATTACCAGAAGTCATTACTCATCGTTGTAGCGCTGTCTCCGGTACAACTAAACTAGGCATGTGTCGTGATGGTGGGTTGAACTAGGCCAAGCTGCACCCCAGTTTCCTTCGGTAACTCATGCCATTGACTTGAGGCAAGTAACAGCAGGATAGTGGGTTCAGCGGTTCGACTACTAGAGGAGAGGTAACTGTAACGCGTCTAAACGTTCTCAATATTTAGTGTGGAAATTCCACCAATAATTCGGATTAGTTTGAACCCTGTGGCGGCAAGGAGTTGATAGATTTTAGACCCAAGTATTCCTAATGAGTCGGTGGACATAACTCACAAAATTTCCGTCATTTGTGGCTCAGAGCTTTGTTCAGCACAAACAGCTCACAAAGTTTACAATGCAATCAATCTGAAGGGTGTTGCTAGCCCTAAATATTGCGCTCTAGGACCGGCTTCAAACTGATTTGATCTTATCTCTTAGAGATAGCAGGCGTTGAACCCGGAGCCATTGGGATGTTAGTTGTAACTTCTGCCAGCGAGTACAGAGTTTCGTGTGGGCAACGCCAAATATCCAGTTTTATCAGCAATTGCCGTCCCCATGATCGAATTGACAAAACTTCATTCCAGTGCGAAACAAAGTTCACGTTGAGCTTGCGCGCTGCAATCTGTTTAAGCAACGACAGAAATGAATCACCCCTGCCGTCATCCTATGCCCCACATCCTAATTCATACAAAAATTATTCACTATTACGAGCATCGCAAGTATTGACAAGTAAACTCGATCCGCCAGTCTGTCTCGTCTACCGGGTTGAAGTCCCCGCAACGCAACCAGTGTTTCACTCTAGATGTTAGGGAACGGCTTGTAGCCGGCACTATCTCTGCCTGTGTCGTCTTGATGCAGCCTGAGTAAGCGGGGTAGCGACAGCTACAAGAAAGCTGCTGGAAATTTCGTATTACCCGCCTGAAAACGCTGCACTCCACAACTGGTTTCGAAGTTAGTTGATGCAATCAGCCTGACAATACCCAATATTCAGCTGTCTTAACAGTTACGGTCCTAGTGATCGAGCTGATCAAGGTTCACTCCAATGCGAAACAAGGTACATGGATATATACTTTCGGCAAGTGCATGCATGAGGAAGTACATAAATTCGCCGAAATCGGATGGATGTCCTGACGTAATAGTGAAACAGTAATCATATAAAACGCAAAAATGGTTGAAATCGCTCCCAAACGTGTGAGTTGTTGGCGTGATATGGTATGTGACATTGTACCCCGCGTCTAGGTCTCGTAGACTTGAAGAGATTCTGTCATCGTATAAACACACAAGTCAGATATGTCAAGTTTGGTGAGTCCCAGTGACGAAACTTGCTTGGCGAACGCTGGGAATATATGGCTCCGGTTGTTGATAATTATCGGATGATACATGAGATAGGTAATGCCGAGCACACAAAACCGACTATGGCTTCCGCATGTGCACCATAATATTTGTCAATCTTTCCTTGGTAGCTACAGATCATTCTGCAGGTGTCGCATATTTCCAAATCCACTGCTTGTGCTGTGGAGTTCTTGATGGTGATTATATCCGGCTTCGTGTATGTTGATGCCGCTGGCATGCGGGGCTCCGGGATGATTTGGGCTCCTTTACGACGAAGGGTGTTCGTTAGTTACTTCACCATATCTTTATGCCTCTTATTGTAAGCACCGAGTGTTACTGCACAGGACTGCAAGAGGTGCGAAAGTGTTTCGTTTTGTCCGCAAGCACCATGACAGTAGAGATTGGATGGGTTTGGGGGGTGGTTGTCCTCTACAGCATCGCTATTTTGTCGACAGTATCCCTGCTCAAAGTTGGGTTCCTCTGATGTAGAGTCTGGGGAAAACTCCCTCGGGGTTGTTTATCCACTTATGAAACGGTGGCGTCGCAATTGCCCCACGAAGCAAGGATCCGTCTACAGATTGTAGCAGTGACTTCTTCCACGCTTCCTTCACGTCAGTTTTGTCAAAGACGAGTTCGTTCCCAAAGATAACGGGTTTCATAGAGGGGCGCTGGATGGTAGCCGCTGAAGCTTCTCTTATCGCCCAGCTGGTAATTGGATGGAAGAGTGAAAGAGCTCGCGCATCACAATCCATTTAATCAACGTGTGTTCAAAAGGACCCATCAAACAGCTTCAAGATGTATTGCTCATTTGCCTTCATCAATAAGTATGTGTTGGGCCAACGAATTTTTTCTTTGATTCGGTTAAACAAACGACACGGTGGATGAAGAAGTTGAAGCGAACATTGGAAGTTTACGAACAACGTTTCTGGCACCGTTAGAAAGGATAATGGTGGGAGCCCGCTAGGGTCCGATCGCACTAGTTTTCCCCCAGCAGCTGCCTCAGGTTGCGCAACAAGGTCCACAGGAAGCTGACTGAGGAAGAAGAATCTTCAAGTAGATCTCAGGGACACACGGGTTCCTTCTAGAAGAGGGTTAGGTAATCTGGAGATTCCCCTGTTTGATAATGAATCATTCCAAAATATTCTAATTATAGTTTTCTTGTGTATTTGGGAATCACTTGGTATGTTAGTATGTAGGTTGCTCCCGTTTGGTTGTATCACACGCAAAACAAACACATTCGCTGCCCGCAGTGTTTTGGGGTGGGTAACATCTAGTTGCTATTTGCATCAGGTACGGTCCTCGTGATCAAAAGACCAAGGTTCACATCAACGGCAATCGCGGTCACCATTGAGATTACGCTTCGAAATCTATCCACACAACGTGTAATTCCAAATGACCCTCAACGTGTTTCATTAAACCGTTGTACCAGGGGTTGCCCGTCGTGAGACCGGTGGCTGAGGGGTAGCGGTCACAACTGACATCCCGATGATTCCGGGTTCGATGCCTGCTTACTCTATCTGATGATATGCATTAATACCTAAGCGCGTCATCGTAATGCAGTGCTTTCTGTGGTGGGCAACGCCCAATTTCTGTTTACATCAGCTACAGTCCTCGTGATCGAAAGACTAAGGTTCACTTTATTGGGAATCCCGGTCGACATTGAAATTTCGCATCGAATTCCATCCACATAACGTGTACTTCAAAATGATCGTCAACCTCTCTTCTAGTTTATTTTCGCGTGTTCTCACGCTCGCTTTCTGTTGGCGATTAAATTGTGTATCTGATATATATATATATATATACATATATATATATACATATATATATATATATATATATATATATATAGTTCATCTGTTGACTTAGCCCAAATGATTAACAGGTACATGACTCAATCATCGGGTCACTGATATTGAATATTCTCAGTGCTAAGTCGTTGGATAGAAACGGTCAATGTGTAGACCCAACTAACTTGCGGTACAGTTGTGGCCACGTCAAACACATTTACGGCCCATAAAAGTATAGCAGGTAGCACAAGATTGCGGTGTCTTTCATTACAAATACCTACTGATAGCGTACAGTAGAATACACGTTGTGGTATTGATTTCCCGACAGGTAAATGAACTAATGCTGAGCAAGGGTAGCCATCGGTTCAGGTCTTAGACGGCTCCTCGTGACGACCTCGGGGTGTGATTCGGTTCAGGTGCTTCTCCTAATTACCAAGGATGTAGCCGTCTAGCAAAGATGCACTCGTGACGTATCCTTCGCCGCTTTTCCATAGCAAACTGTATCGAAATCCTTGAATGGGTACTTCAGCAATCTGTTGTTCAAGTATGGATACTAAGGCGGTTTATAAGTTCAGTTATATCCGTAGCGAATAATCTTATACTGCATTGGTCTTTGTAGTGTTGCCATATCGGCTGCATACAGCAGGTGGGATAAGCGAAAACGGGTCATTATTAGCGAACTGTCACTCGCTATAACGTTACAGGCTCAGGTTGGTTTAGCCATCGGGTTCGGCTGATGGGCGGACCAACATGCCTGAATGACAGGGGAAATTGTTTGGCATGCAGCTGAAGCTGTCGCTGGAATGGACCAAATCCACAGAGAAAGAGTATGGTCTATTGGTAATGCCATTAGCTTGTGATGATGAAGTCTGAGTTGCGACACCTGTTCACTTGAACGACCATCTGCTTTTGTACAACTAACTACTAGGTATGTTCCAAGACACATTATGCGGCCAAAAGGAGTGCATATATACGCACGACACTGCAACGCTCTGAGACAAGCCGACCACATGGAATGTCCTGAGATGAGTCACTTTGTAGAAAGGCGGAAGACAGCGATTGCCCGGAGGACAGAAAGACCACTAAAAGGGGAAGTACGAAAGGGAGAACAGGCGCAATGTGGAGAATTATTCGAAGCAACACTGTCCTGAAGGAACGAGAGGAAAACAGCGCACGAGCGGCGTCCGGTAGTGAGCCTAAGCCAA